GGTGAACCAGATGTAGCTGGTATTTTCAGCGCGGCTTAATGCCATTGAAAGATATGAAAGATGCAGATATTTTGAACCAGTATGAAATGAACATGGCTGATGGAAATATAACACCTGACGTTCTAGAACATTTTTCTCAAAGAACTACACAGAACCATAGAGATGGTATATTTGGTGAAGAGTTTTAGAAAGAAAGTTAGGGAGAGCGAAGGAAGAGAAACCTATTGTACATGACCTTGCAAACGAAAGTTTGCAAAATGTCATAAAAACTTACTTTGCAGACAATGAACTGAGAAGGGATGAATATTTAAGAAAACTCAAATGGACAGTACCAAATGAAATGTTAGTATTGAAAAAACATGTTCCTTGACAAAATAAAACCAACTACAGAAATAAACGACGCAAGACTGAAAGATTGGGTAAAAGCTTTCCCATTCACAAAAGATATAGTTGGTAACATGGAAAGAAAACCAGAATGGCTACAAAAACATATATTTGGAAACGAGCTTATTCCATATGGACAGGCACTGTTTGAAGAGCTTGAACCAGAAACTCAGGACAGAGTCATGCAAACAATAAGCGACGGACTCAAATACAAACTATGACAAACTCTTTTCTAGGATATAGGTTACCTGAGATGGGCGACCAGAGCCAAAAGGCAAAAAGGACATGGGAAATTTGCAACATACTAGATGAACATAATGCAAAGATGCAACAACTTCAAGCAGAGGGCAATGAAGGAAAAAGAAGAGTTAAAAACTCAGTCAGGAAGAAAGCTTGGTCCACGTGGGTTCTATTATGACATATAAATCCAACTATTCTATATTTTTACTCATATGAAATGTACGCCGCTCAGAATATAACGCCAACAGTTTTTGGATGCTATGAATGGAAATGTTTCCGAATGGTATAACGAATGCGACAATGCCATTAGAAGGTCAGAAATAGTTCCTGGAACTTACGAATATACAACTGCTGTTTCTTATGGAAACGTAGGTGAGTTTTGGAGAAGGTTCTTCAACAACAGTAGATATTGCTTGCGACAGGTTTCATATTATTTCTATTGACATCATTCTTATACGTGGAACAAGACATTGAAATAAAACCTTCTGCCAAGTTGTCTGAAAGAAAGGTTGCAATGGAATTTTCTATGTCGGATACCAATATGCTCCAGAAGTTTTCATGGGATATAAGATATATTCTAAACTCTGACTTAGTTCAAACAGTAACATGGGCAAACTATGAATGGTTCGCTTTGAGAAACTCAGTACAACCACAAGCTAGAGAACAAACAGACCAGTATGCCACCATTGAGAAAATAAGAAGACTTGACCCTAACGTTCCAGGAGTTTATGTTAACCTTTCTGGTTCAGATGGAAATGCTGTCACTAAAGTAAAACTGAAACTTAGAGTTCCTTTGTCATCTTTCCTCATCTTCAGGTTTTTAAGATACTTGCCAAACTGGGCAGGAAAAATTTCTATTGAACTTACTCCAAGCAAAAATAACTTAGTCATTGCACCAACACAAGACCCATTCACTATTACAGAAGTAGTGGGAACAAATAAAATGTCATTCGCCGACTTTTGCAAAGACAAAGTTTGACTTAGACTTTGGTTTCTCAAACCTCAACACTGAAGTAAACTATTATTTCAATGCTGCTGGAACTGCTTGGGACCCAGTTTAAGTTACAATGCGAAAAGTTTGAATGCAAGAGAATAGAAAGCAGACTTGCAGTCTATATGTTGGACCCAGATATTTCAAATGCTTTAGCTGCCAAATATATTGCAGTTCCACTTATGTTCCCTATACACCAAATATCTGTCAAAGACTTTGCAGGTGAAGTTGGAAACCAAAGTGCTGACCCAGGTGCAAGAACAGATATTGCCTTAACAACTGCAATGAAACATGCAGATACTATGTTTGTACTGTTCAGACGAACTATAAATGACTATTCTTGCTTCTACAACCCTGGTATTAAATACCATATAAACATAGATGGCAAATACTATCCAAGAGAAGAATATTCCACAGTTGAAGATATGAGGTCATACAACTTGACATTAGATGCTATGAACTTTAACAACAACTTCACAACAACCATTAACCCTGAAATGCAAAGTTCTATTATGCCATATGTGAAAGTATGGACCCATACAGGAGCTCAAAAAACTCAATATACAAATGGAGACCGTTCAAACTTTTGGCTTGGCATTCCATTTGCTGACTCAGAAGACTTTATGGGTGGTATTTCAACTGTTGGTACAGTTCAAATACAATATACTGGTGACAGAGACGGTCCAGATGAATTGAAAGCAAAGAAGTTTACAAAACCAATAGCACTTTTCACGGAAGATGCTCTTTTGAAAATTCGTTCGATGAAACCTGCTGGGGCTCCTCAGATTGGCATAACGACAGCTTCCATCGAGCAGATTTTGGCAGCAGGTCAGTAAGTTGTTCTTGAACTGACTTCTCTCCGTCAAATATTGACAGTACGCCAGTTTTGACATAAAATTGTATTAAAAACTTACCTTTAGAAATATCGGTCAGTTTTGTTGTTATATTTTTGTCTGCTTCAAGAACTTTCACCATCTCGGTTATACCAACTTTCTTTGCTTTATGAAAATATTTTGGTTCAGCAAAGACTGCTATTCTATAACATTTTCCATTGTTTGTGTAAAGAACTATTCTGTCAATGAACTTGTATTGTTTGTGTGTGTAAACTTTGTTCTGCTTCAATTCGAAGAGATACTCAAATACGTCCATCTTTTTATTCTAAGTAAAATGTCATTTCCGAAAAATAGAAGCGTAAGTGTTTCAAAAGGTTTAATGGCGGTGGCAGATGTGAAGTTAAATTCACCAACTCAAACAAACAGTCAAAGTGTTGTTGTCAATGTCAAGAAAGAGATGTTGAAGTGGGGAAACCATACGAAGACGAAGATGGTATAACAATTGTTCCTGTAAAAGAACAACCAACATATCCTGAAGTTAGCAGAGACTTAAGTTCTGTTGCAGATATTCGAAACGACTACCAACAACTTAAAGACAAACTTAAAACTCAGGAGAAGATTTGTCAAGCTTTAGGTATAATGTTAAACTTGGTCGAACACAACCCTGTAAAAGTGAACTCATATGTCATCGCACCTCATGAAATTTTTGAAAGAACTATTGAAACTTTTGACAGAGGCAGACGATATAACATCAAAGAAATAGAACCCGACGTTAGTTGCTGTGGTGTTTCATATAATGTCATTGACAAGATATACGTTATGAAAGGAGGTGAAACGTTGAACTTAAAATATAGTTTCCCAGACGTCATAAAAATATTTGACGACCACAACATTTCATTAAAATTTACTTGCTAAGTAAATGGCAGAAGACATAGTGGTTTATACTATTACGACTAAAAACCCTGAGTCATATAATTCTATAACAACAAACTTACAAAGTCCTCAAGGACGATATTGTAAACTAACTTTAAACACGATGACGACTAAAGCCTGTTTTTGCTCTTTTTGACACCAGAAGACTTTGTTGTTGTGAATGGTAAAAAATACTTCTTTGAAGATACTTACTCAGATATACCACCAACAGGTTTTGTTGACTTATTTAATACTTTAAGGACGGATGTAACATGTGCTGCAACTAGAGCAGGTTTCATTATGTTTGGATGTCCGACTGAGTTTAGTATAAACGATATGAGCTATAATACAAAACTTATTTCTGGTTTTTACTACCAACAGTTTCCTATAACAGGAAAAGGTGTCATACAAGGTCTATCTATTCCATTGACATTAAGCACACCAATCTTATATATTGTTTCAAACTTAGGTTCAAAGTGTTATTCGAACGTCGACAGAAACTACTATGACCAAAAGATACTTATGCGTATAAACAATACTTTCTCTGCTGGTTTGCCTATTGTTCATTCGAATGCAGAATTTTCAACCTTAGTGAACTCAAACACTTTGGCAAGTATAACGTTGACATTAGTTGACGCAAACTTTGTTCCTGTAAAACTTTTATGTCCTATGTATTTGTCAATGACGGCAGAAAGTTTCGAATTGGAAGATGCAACTGGTGAAAGTATTGTACTACAAGAACAACTTCAACAACAAATAGCTCAAGAACAACAAATGCAACAAATGGAACAACAAAGTCAAGAATAAAAAAATAATATTTTTTTTATTTTTATAAAAATGTACAGAATAGATGTTTCAGATTTTTATGACTTCCAAGCGTTCAGAAATATGTGTCCATTTCGAGACTATAACAAAGCGGTCGAGAATTTGAAACGTTTAGTCATTTATGTTGACTCTGCCCCAGAATGTTATGTTATGAAAGAATGGGATGTTGTCTTTAACAAACCAAGAGCAACAATAGTTTCAGAACAAGAATGTAGACAGAAACTTAAGAAAATAAAAGTCGTACAAGTTGGCATGAAGATGTTAGATGCTTGGGATATCTTATTGTCAAAGTTAGAAGATTTTTCAGTTCGAGGTATAAAGTTCTATACACCTTCTCCAAACTTCTATTCTATCTTCACTGGATATAAATACGAACAAGTAGAATGGAAAAAAATATTATAGAAGCTTGGTTAGACCATGTCAAAGAAATTATATGCAATGGAAACGAAAGAGTCTATGAGTATATCTTATGTTGGTTTGCAAACATCTTACAACATCCAAGTGCTAAAAATGAAACTGCTCTCATTATAATTGGAAAACAAGGAACTGGTAAGAACACATTCTTTACAGATATCTTATGCAAACTGTTAGAAGGTTATTCGAATCCGAATATGACAAACTTAGAAAACATCTGTGGCAAGTTTAACTCCTCAATAGAGAATATGAAACTTATAGTATGTAACGAACTTCAAAGTATAGATACAACAAAGGTTTTAAACTCAGATGCTTTGAAGAGTCTTATAACAGACAAAGTTGGAGTTGTTGAAAGAAAATATAAAGACCAAAGAGTTTGTGAAAATGTTGCAAATTTCATCATGGTTTCAAACAATGTTGTTCCGATGAAGTTAGAAAGTTCTGACAGAAGATATGTAGTTGTCAGAACGTCAGATTCTCATATGCAAGATACAGAATATTTTGACGACTTAGCAGAAACTTTGACACCTAACTTTTACAACCACTTGTTCTCATATTTCATGACATTAGATATTTCAAAGTTCAATCCAAGACAAATTCCACATACCGAAGAGAGACAAACGTTGTTAGAAGCAAACAAGAGTGTATATGAACTGTTTATAGATGAAACTGACTTTGTGTCATTAGATGAAAGGTCATTGTACGATGAATATAAACAGTATTGTCAAGAGTATGGTTATATGGCAGCGTCTAAACGAACATTCTTGGCAAATGTCAAAAATCTTTTAGATGTTCAGAACGGCGTATATACAAAGAAAAATTTTTCTGAGTAAATTTTAAAAACAGTATTTTTTTATTTTATTTGAAATGTACGCTGAGTTTGTTGGAAGAGACTGTTGTGAGTCATTTGAAGTCAGAAACAAAGAGACAAAAAGAGTTTTAAGCGGATGGGAGCAAAATAACGGATATGCGCTATTCTGGTTAGATTGTCCTTATGAAATGTATGAAAAAAAGGCTTTATATGAAGAATATAGAAAATATTGTCATGAAAACGATATAAGACCAAGCTCTAGAGAAAAATTCTATGCTGGTATAAAACATCTTTTCGAAGTTCGGAATGGCAAATATAGAAAGAAATAATTTTTCTGAGTAAATTTTTAAAAAAATATTTTTTTTTATCCGATAGAAAAGATGGCAAAATTCATCTCAGTAAATAAGTACATGACAGAAGTCAAAGATAAGTTAGACCCATTCGCTTATTTGAATGTTTACTTCTACCATTTTGAAAAGTCTTCATTTGACAAAGTTTGGAACATTGCACCAGTTAAGTTTGCTGTTGTTAGAAAAAGTGGTGCAACTTTTGAAGACTTAGACATAGAAGGTTTGTTGACAGTCAAAGAAAATTTTGACAGAAGGTTTTCAAACCTTAAAGAAGGCAAAGCATACAAACTTGTTATACCTTATGAACCAAAGAAAGCAGACGACTATGAATATTATGAGTCTAAGATAGTTGAAGTTCAAGGTAAATTGGGTAAAAAGATTTTAGAGTCTAAGCCAGTGTTTGCTCCTAAAGAGGAAGAGAACATTGACATTGACCCAGAAATGTTCTAAAAATAAAATTTTATTTTTACATGTCAAATTTCTTTTTCTCTGGAACTGGCTCTGGTTCTTTCTTCTCTTCTTCTACTTTCTTTTCTTTCTTTTCTCTCTTCTTCTTCTTTTCTGGTGGAGTTATGTCAAACTTCTCAGAACCATATTTTTGTAAAAGGTCTTTGTCCTTTAATAGCTCTTCTATTCTGTTTTCTATTTCATTTTCAAGAACAGCGCATGTGTCTTCTTTGCATTCTAAGAACTTTTGTTGGACTTCATCTCTCCAAGAGGCGTCATCTCTGTCAACAAGTCTGTCATTGACAAACTTAAAGACTTCTCTGCCTAATGTTTTATGGTTCTTGTCATATTCCCAGAAACAGAACTTTAGAACAAATTCACCTTTCTTGTTTACACTATGTAAGATTTTATGGTCGACAGATGTTTTGCTGTCGAAAAGTTTGTCTCGAATATAGATAGCGAAATCACTAGACATTTTCTAAAAGATAAAAATTTTAATTTTTCTAAAAATATGTTAGAAAAAAAGTTTGCTGACATTGACAAGAAATTTGAGAATGTTTTAAATAAGAACAAGAGGAAGTTAGAAAATGCTCAGATAAAACCTATACATGACAAGTTCTTATTTGCTCAGAATGGTATAACAGGTCTAATTGCACCACCTGGGTCGGGTAAGACTTTCACTTATCTTAAAATGGCTGCACAACAACAAGAACTAGATGAGAAGAACCCATTCTATGAGTTAGTTGTTATTTGTAGTACTTCTGGTTATTTGACCAAGACCGTCAATTCGTTCAAAGATATTATAAAAAGTCTAAGTTAGTAGTATAAAGGATACTGAGTTGTTAGATTGGATAAAGAAGTACCAAAGAAGAGTTTTGAAGTACAATGCTATAAATGAGTATATAAATTCTAAGTTTAAAGACCCAAATGAGGAAATGCAGAGAATATTAGAGAAGAAACACTTCAGAAACAAACAGAAAGAGATAGAATACATTTCGAAGAAATTGCAATCTTACGATTGGAAAACGTACCCTCACAGATGTCTTCTTATCTTAGATGATTTCGCCTCTCATCCTTTGTTAAAGAATAGAGAACAAGATATGTGTCGAATTCTTAAGAAGCTCAGACACTTCAACATCTCTGTTGTCATTTGTGTACAGACAGCAAAGAGTTTAAGTAAGGATGTTAAAAGAATACTTACTGATATCATACTTTTCCCTGGATTGTCCGAAGACGATTTCATGGAACTTATGAAAGAGTCCATGGCAGGTAAGTTTGACAGACATGAACTATGGGAGAAGTACAAAGTCATACAAGACCCTCATACTTCTTTCAGAATTCACATCTACGCGAACAAAGTTCAAATTGTAAAAAGTCAAGCTTGAAAAATGTAAGTGTTTAGTCTTAGTCTGTTGTGGTTCTGCAGCTTTCGGTTCTTCTGGCTTTGGAAGACATTCAGGAAGAGGGACATGAGACATTCGTTTGTGTCCTGTCGGAAGGAAGAACTTTTCCAGTTGTCGGGAAAAACTTTTCCTGTCGGAAGGAAAAATTTTTTTTGTTGGAAGGAAAAATTTTTCCAGTTGTCGGGAAAAAAGTTCTCAATTTTCGAAAATTTGAATGGTTTACGGACGGACAACAGGAAAATTTTTTCCAGTTGTCGGGAAAATTTTTTCTTGTCGGATGGAAAAACTTTTTCTGTCGGAAGGAAAAACTTTTCTTGTCGGATGGAAGGACTCGGAATGCCAGAAGGATTTGACAAGACAATTTACCATCTAGAGCTACATGAGCCATCTTTGGTGTCAAGCTTGAAAAATAAATGGTTCATTTACTCTGCTTGTTTGAAGTTGTCAAAATACTCTGTTATTTTTTCCTTTAACAATGGCAAATCTTCTTTGAAGGTAAGTATTGTACAACCTTTCATATCATAGTGTGTTTGAGGTAACGTATCTTGAACTATTTGTTTCACATCTTCATTCGGTGTCATTGAAATCGGTAAGTTTTCGCGATAGAACCAATTTCTGTCAGATTTGTAAATCTTAGCAAGGTCGTAAAAGCTTTTGTTGTTTCTTCTGACTAAATGCAACATAACCATATCTTTATCTTCTTCATTTTCCATCTCTTCAGTATAAATCATATACTTATAGTTCTTTTCCTTACCTTTTGGTACCGAACGTGGTATTCTTTTCTGAATGCTTTTGTCTTTTGCTTCAAGCTTGTTCTCTAGCTCTTCACGTTCTTGTCTATGAATTTCATCTAACATCATGAAAATATAACAAGCATAACGAGGTGAAGCCCACATTGCTACGGCATTTACAAGAAGTCTATGTACATACCAACCTCTCAAACCATTTGGCAAATTTTGACGATTTTCGTACGGAATCTCGACCCGCGGTTTTCTACCGGTCGCAAACATATGAGGAAATTCTTCTAAAAGTTCTTTTGTCTGTTGGTTTTCAAACCAATGACGTGCTTGCTTTGTAGAACGAAGAGCATTCAAAATACTTTGCATTTGGTACATATCGTCTTTGACCGAACGAATGAGACGGAGTTGTTTGTTAAACTGTATGTACTCGTATTCTTCATTTATAGCTTCATGGACTATAACTGTTGTTGTGTTCTCTGTTGTTGACATATCTGTCTTTACATACAAAATAAAAAAATAAAAAAAATAAAATTAACTTTATTTTTTCTATCTTAAGGAAATTCATGATTTTCATAGAGTTTTGGCGAGTAGGGAAAAAGTCGGTCTAGAGAAATTTCACTGTTTTCATAGAGTTTTGGCGACTGGGGTTTCTTCCCTACTCGCTGTGCTTCACTGTTTTCGTACGGAATCTCTTCTCTCGGTTTTACATGGTAAGCAATCTTATGCCATTTTACTCAGATTTTTGTGCTGAATTCAGCAAAAATATATTTTAGGGTAGAAGGGTATATCTACCCCGTTTTCTACCCTCATTTCTACCCCATATGTCCTTACTGAAAAAGTATGTGTTCCATATGTCATTTTACTCAGAATTTTATACAGAATTCAATAAAAATATATTTTAGGGTAGAAGGGTATATCTACCCCGTTTTCTACCCTCTTTTCTACCCCAGTTATTTTATAAGCGTTTTACATGGTAAACATTGTGAATTCGTGAAATTCTAAACAATTTCGTAGCTTCTATTTCTTCTGTCAGTACATCGAATGTTTTAACAATGCCGAAGGTTTCTTTATATTTCTTCTTGACATCTGAAAGAAGGAAATCGTCAGCTGTTGGATAGTTTTTGTTTAGAAATGCTAACATGTCCATTTTATTTTCTGCTGGTTTCTCTGCTTCTTTCTTTAAGTCAGCATAGTCGTTTCGCATACGTTCTATCTCTTTGACGGAGTAGTTATATTTCCTCATTGCTGCTTTACATTTAGAACATTGTGGGTTCATTTTTGCGTTATATTCTGAAACCTTACCTGCTAGTATGACTAAGGCGTCAATTGCTCTCTTTAACTCAAAAGTTGCGGGTTTTATCTGTTCATTCCATATCTTACCTCTTCTATCTTTATCTCTTATCTGCCATACACATTCAGCAACTAACGAAACAAAGTTGTCGTAGGTCTTAAACTCCCCAGATTTGTATATGTCAGAGATGTTCTTATATACCATATCGCAATCTTTGTCCATGACTTTGTGGTTGCAATGAAATCCAAGAAACTCATAGTTAACCTTTCGTATGAACTTCTTGGTTTCTACTGAGTCAGTCAGTCTGACTTCAATTTCATCGAATTCTGGAATAGTGAGTTTTTGTTGTTGTATTTCAGGAAGTTTAGGCAAATGGTCTATAATATCTTGCATTTCATAAAGATACTGTTCATTTGTTTCATCTTTTGCACTACAGTCTAAATCTCCTTGGAGAAGTTCTTGCTTTATCTTCTGGATTTCTGTTTCGAAAGTATATGAAGAAGGAATGAAGCTTTTCATCTCTACTAACATTGAAGTTGGGTTCATGACTAACGAGTTTGGTGCTGTTGTTGCAAACATGTTCTTACAATAAAAATAAAAAATATTTTTTGGTGGGACTACCTTTATTTTATTTCAGCACAAAATGAACGAGTTTGGTTTAAAAATACGGTGGAGCCAAAAATGGCTCGACCTCAAAACAAGCATTTTGTGAAGAATATACCAACCCGCGGAATTCCGCGGGTTGCTTTTTTTATACAAAATTCAAGAGTTTTGTGTGTTTTCTACGAGGGTAGAAAAGAGGGTAGAAAACGGGGTAGATATACCCTTCTACCCTAAAATATATTTTTGTCGAAAAAAAATGGTTCATTTACTCACAATATTTTTGTACAAAACGACCCCAAACTTTTAACTTCTTTTCTGCAGCTTCAAATGCTATCTTAGCGAGTTCATATTCTCTAAATTCTCTCTTTAAATCTTCTTGTTCCCATTGGTCTAGTTCGTATGGCGAGTCTCTATAACCAGAACATATCTCACGTTCATGTTCTATTTGTTTTTCATGCATTTTTCTAACTTCTTCTTCAAACAAAGGTTTTGCATTCTCTACTGTATCTTCAAGTTCTTCTTCATCTAACTTCTCATGAACTTTCTTGTCTATGGAGTCCAGAATTTTTCCAACTGCTATGCAATATTTTGGAGAAGCCCACATTGCTATATAGTTTACGAGTCTTGGGTCTACATACGTTCCTCTAACCTGTTTGATTTCATCAGGAATTCCTGCATGAACCTTGTATAAAAAGCAACCGTCGGAATTCCGACGGTTGGTATATTCTTCACAAAATGCCGTATAATACTCTTCCCAGGACTTATTTTCCAACAACTTTCTAAAGTCTTTCCTAAACTGCTGACACATATTTGTTGCGTTAATATAACCATCCTTGTCTCTACGTAAGACTTCAATACCATTGTAAGTGCCTTTTGTGAATGTTTCGCCATTAGATTTGTTCGTGAACGTTTTTGCTTCGACTGTCATACTGCTCTTACAATAAAAATAAAAAAATATTTTTTGGTGGTACGTCGGACATTCGTCTGTGGCTTAACCGTCGGACCACAACGATAAAATCTATTTCCTGTGTTGTTGTCAAAATGTCATGTTGTCACCATTTTCAAAAAGATGTTAGTTGACCGAGTGACCTGGTGACACCTAAAATATATTTTTTTCTGTCTTAAGGAAATTCATGAAAATTCAACGGGTAGAAATGAGGGTAGAAAACGGGGTAGATATACCCTTCTACCCTAAAATATATTTTTCAGTGCTTTTTCAGCACTTTTCCGTAGTTGTATATGAAAGACAATTCGAGATAAAAGTCGTAGTACAATGGTATAATATGCTGCACACCGTTTGTTGTAAACCAAACTTGAAAGTCAGAGAAACTGTTACTAGGTGGTTCGTAGAATTTAGAAGCAAAGTCATAAAAGTCCTTACCAATACATAGAAAACTATTGTTGCTTGAACTGAAACTTGCATGACATATAACATTTTGAGGGTCAAACACGTTTTTATAAACTGTCAAATCTGTTGGTGGGCGTATAAATTTAAACGGACCGTCAGGTGGTAATGGTTCGTTCTGGTTTAGTAACCGAAGAAATTGCGCCCAAGAACGTTTGTCTACTTCCCAAAATAAAAACTGTGTACTTCTTCGAGGGTTAATTTCAATCCTTTGAAATGAAACTGTGGAGTTCATCTTGTCATATTCTAGTTTCAGATAGTATGTTCCATTTAGTAAAGAGTCGTATTTTTCTTGAAATTCCCAGTAGTATTTGTTTATTTGAGTTTGAAAGTCATTTAGAGTTTTCTCAAGACTTTCGTCTGAACGAACTGTAAAGATTCTCATTTCGTCAAATTTGTCTATTAGACCATCAGAACCTTCATACTGCCCATGAAAATATACTGCAAACATAAAAGCGTTAGTTCTATTTGAAAACAAAACTCTTCTAAATCCTATTGCCTTTGCATCTGAAGGACTTTGAAGCCAGCGAATTGGATAGTCAAACCTGTATGAACGGGATGAAATTTCTTCATCTGATATAGTCCTACCGGCATTTGTGAAGATATAGTCTAACGGTTTTGTATCTGCTACTTTTGTTCTTTGTTTTTCAACCTGAAACATTTAATATATGTAAAAATATACTGTTTTAAAAAATGTTTTAAAATGGTATGCAATTTTTTACTTCATGCAATGTTTAACTTCATGCAATGTTTAACTATTTCACCATCTTCTTTAACAGCCCAGTACTTTCGCTTGGAGAGGACATGAACTTCGGAAAATACCTTATCTAGCTTAAAACAGCCCATCTTCTCACCAACTAAACCCATTTCAATGAGTTTGTTGTATCCTTCTTCGTTCGTCATGAGTGCGTCGATGTTCTCATAGTAAACCTTCACTTTGGATTTGACTTCGGAGAAGAATTTGTTGTAGTTGTCAAGGACTGCTTTTGCGAACTGAGGGTAAGACCAATGTTCGACAATAGGTTTTAATGTGGTTACTAAGCCACTTTCACCTTCGGTAAATTCGTATTTCAAAACAAAAGGAGAAAACCTTTCAACAAAGTTGTCGACCTTCTCATAATGTTTACTCTTCATCTCTTGAGGTTTCTTTATGGAATACCCCCATGTCGAATTCATAAGCAATTTTAATGTCATTGCAAGTTTGGGGTTTGAAGCTTTCCTAATATCATACAGTTGTTGTATGACTTTTCCAACTGTATAGTTCCTTCCTGGGAACTCACCGTCTTCGTTTGGAATTCCAGTTGGAATATATTGGACAAACCTCATGTACGCAGCGTTAAGGTCGACATAGTATATCTTTTCATATGAGTCAAACTTGTCGCAACCAATCGGTCCAGTTTGTGGAAATTCAAGCGAGTCTCTTATCTTCTGAGAAACTTCTCCTGTTATCTCATAAACATCGTCGAAGCAACCTGTTTCATATAAAACCTTCTGACCTAACTCAGATGCTCTCCAATACAATTTGACGTCGATTGGATGCCTCAATGGAAGTTTGTTTATAGCATCTTGAAGTTCTTGCAACCTCATTGGAAGTTCTTCTGGTTCAGGTTGGTATCCGAACAATCCAACTCCTTTTGGAATTGTGTACTTCTTTTGTACTAGAACTTTGTCTGGAACAACTTTTGGTCTTGCTAACAATGAAAAGTTTGTTTCGTCTTTTGGTACAAAAGTTTCTGTCAGCTTGTCATCTGGAATTGGTTCCAACAAACCTTTCTCGAAAAGAATGTTAACAGCTCTGACAATGTTGCACTTGCCTTTTCCGAACATAAGACTTTCGTTCAACATGAAGTGGTTGTGGAAAATTACAATCTTCAACCATGGTAAGTCTTTGTCAACAACATAGTCGTCATGTGAAGAACCTTTCTCAGTCGGAATGTTGACTCGGATATTCACATTTGCCAACGGTGCAATTTTTGACAATTGACCTCTGAGCATGTACCTTGTTTTCACACATGACTCAAGATACTTCATCTTCTCATCTGTAACAAGACCAGAGTTCCTGAGACATGTAAGAATACAAGGTTCATTGACAATTGTTTCAATTGAATTGTAAATTCCATACCTTGTCAAGTCAATGTCAGACTTATTTATGAACGGGAAGTATCCAGCATGTTGTCTGACTGCTTGAGGGTTAGGTTGGTACCATTCGAACTTCACGCTTACAATTCCTTCAATTGCATTCAAAATGTCTGAGTCGGAGTCAAACATTTGTTCTCTCTTTGTAGTCTTGAAAGCGTCAAGAAGTTGTGCGGCTGTTGTGACATTGCCATGTGCATAGTAAATATGACCATCCAAATCTTTTACGGTTAGTCTGAGATTGTATCCTTTCTTATTTCCATCTTGTATGGCAGCAAGTACACCCATGAAGCCTTCTTTGTTCTTTCCTTCGTCAAAGTTTACTGTAAAGGTTCGACCAGATGTAATTTGACTTCTAACTTCACGGTACTTTTCATATGCATATCTTGTTCTTTCCATGGGAGCATGTGCGTCTTCACCTTTTCCTTTTTTCCTTCTCAAGGGATGCAACTGTTCGTTATGTTTCCAGTAGAATCTGGCAAAGCCGTCTTGTCCTTCAACCTGCGGCTCACTAACATTGAAAGGCAAGTTCATAAGACGTTCTTCTTCTAACCTCTCAAGTCTGTTTGGATAGTTGGTTCGCGCTGTTTTTAAGTCCATCTCATAGGTCAGACCAGCCAGTTTGTCATAGACTTTTATGGGTCTTCCCTTCCTATATTTAAAATTCTTCGAAACTTTCCAACCATATCTTTCTAACTCTGCTTTTATTCTAGCAGATTTTCTATCCATTCTATATGGGGGCATTTTTATAAAAATAAAAAAATGTTTTTTCTTTACTTTACGTAACCGCCTGATACCATAAGTCTTTGACGCCAACCCATACCAGCTAATGAAGGTTGACTTGGTTTAGTTTGGAAACTAACCTTTGGTTTTGGTTTTTCTTCAGTTTGTGGCTTCCCTTCTTCTATCGGTTTTTCGTCACTTTTCGGTTCCTCTGACTTTACCTCACTTGCAGGTATGGTTGTGTCGTCAACATCTTCATAAATATCATATGCCATTTGTTTTTGTTTTCCTTTCAACTTTTTGTGTTTGTTGTAAAGTTTAGAATATTTCGACTCTAAGTCAATGAGATGTTCTATAATGAACTGTTGGTCAGTGAAGTAAACTTTTCCATCTGTTGTCTCGAAAGCTCCTTCAGACTTCAATATTTTATTTGTGAGAGTCTGTTTCTTTTTTGAGATACTAGCCGTTCCATTTCTATGAAAAGTGACTTTATAGTTAGGGTTTGTATTTCCAGACCTGGCACTTTCTATTATTGAATTTTTCTCTTCATCTGTAAGTTCTTTGACAGGTTTTGACAATGGTTCTGAACTTTTTTGTTTGTGGTGTCAAATCTACCGTTTCAACTTCTTCGGTCATTTCATCTCAGTAAAAAATTTTAGTTTGGTTTGTTTTCAACTGGTTGTTTAGGTTTTTTAAAGTCGGTCTAAAACTTCCTGAGGTATAGGGAGGACTTGACAAACACGTGGTTGTGTAACTGCTGGAAGCCGACAAATCCATCTTGAGCCCATTTGTCTCAATGCTGTATTGTTCATTTCATCTCAGTAAAAAAATTTACATTCCACGTTTGAGGCGGTTGAGGTTGGTTGTTGTTTACCACTGTTGTGCATGGTTATATCCTCTGTTAAAGAATCTTTCACCTTGGTCCATGTAGTGCCCTGCTTGGTTATAGTAGTCATTTGCTTTGTTATAGTAGTTTCCTGCTTGTCTTCCTACATTGTCCTCCATCCTTGAACTTTTCCTCTTGTTTCAGGATTTGGAATAAGATTTGCTGCATCTCGTGCTACATCCCAACCTTTCTGTACAGTTTGTATAATAGGTTGTGCTTTCTCTTTAAGTATACCTAATGTACTCAAAATCTTCTTCCAACTCCAAATACACCTCTAGCTATTGTTCCAACTGCGGGCAAAAATCTGGATGCAACTCCTGCTAATGCGCCAAATAAACCCATTTCTATATAGGGTAAAAAATGACGAATCCAAACAAGGACCCTATGTTTCTAAAGCGACAAAGAAAGCACTCATGGTAAAAATCTTTAGTTCAACACCAAATGCTTGGTTTATGGATATCTTGGAAAACATTCCGAGGTATAGAGAAGAGGACCACCATACTGGCTAATATTTGTTGGTCAAAACACAAGATACTGTGAAGCCATACCATTATGGTCCAAAAATATTTTAGATGTGAAAAACTGCTTTGACAATATTCGTTGACAAATACCATCCAACAAAACTGACATCTGACTGTGAAAGTTCTTTCAAATCAGACGATATTAAAAACTATCTGCGTTCAAAAAATGTAAACCAATATTTCATTGTCGACCAAACCATTCTGCTCTTGGTGTCATTGACAGTTGTATAAAAATCTTAAGAGATTTAAATCAACCACAAGGTGGTGAAGCAAATGAAATGTCATATGACGACAAGTATAGACACTTCTCCATGGCAAAGATGAGACAAGTTTTTAAATATTTACAATAGCCGTAAACAAAAAGGTTTGGGAAACCACTCCCCGAAGAAATGAAAAACAACCCCGACTTAGAGAAAGACTATATATTTAATAGTTTTAGTCAAAAGAGACAAACAAGAAAGAATGCCAGGCTTCAAACTTCAAAGGTGACAAAGTAAAAATAGAAATACCTAAACGCGACCCATATGAAAATACTATTGACTATGACAACAATGGGAACTCGACAGGTACTCACATTCGTGTTCGTAAAAATAGAAGAAAGTATCAAGAGAATATTATGAAGTTTTAGGCAAACATGGCAAAATGTACAGACTGCAAGCAGAAGATAAACTACTATTGTCAGACCTCGTTTCAAACTTGTCAAAGTTCAAGGTGGTATACTTTCAAAGACAGTTCCTAACAAATATAAGACAACTCCTGACGAATATGCTAAAGAAGTTGAAAATGACGACTAAGCATTTCTATACCATGCGTAAACTGTCATGTAAGGTGGCATGTAGTCTTTACTTTGTCCCGTTGTTTGCGTATATCCCGAAACGCGATGTGTATGGTTTCCATCTCCCTGAGTGTCATCCCAGTAACAATTTATAGCAAACTTAACCTCGTCTTTAACATCATATCCTTTACCTTTTGTCATTCCTGACCAATCCCAATATCTATGCTTATGCCAACCTGCTTGAGATGTACTTAAATCTATGTAGTGACTGTGTGCAGGTAAATTTTCACCTGAAATCGTTTTACTTCCACCTGTTTCCTTTGAAGAGTTTGCACAATACAAAAACCTGTCGACTATTTGAGTCCAAGTTCCAAAACCAAGTACTACTTCTGGTCTGGTAGAGTTCATTGACGTATAAATAGAGCCTATAGGATATAATGTTTGAAGTATTTCTGTCTTTAATGTTTGAAGCTCTGTTTTGTCTGCTTTTTTATATAACTTTTCTTCAAGTTCATTTACGTCAGAGATGCTATGTCTATGATATTTTTGTGGGTATGTTCCTTCTGTCCATGCGAAAATATACTCTTTTGTTGCATCTACATATCCAGCTATCCATGTCGAGTCTGCTTTTGTATTCCTTAACTCTGTAACACCTTTCTCAAGCTCTTTCAACTGTTGTCCATCTTCCATTAAACCTCTGGTATGACTTGAAACCGTTTGTGCCAACATATCTACAGTTTCTTTGTCGGCTTTAAGGTCTAAACATCCTGAAACCCATCCTGTATCAGCTTTAGTTTTTAAAATCTTTGTTGTCCTTTCATGGTACCATTCAACCCTTTCTATAATTTTTTCATCTTTTTCATCCACATATTCCTTATCTGCCTTCTTCACTAACCCACTAGCCAGATATGCTAACTCATCGTCAACATACTCTTTGTCAGCTTTCTTTTCAACATCCTCTTTTGTTGCATATGTTGCATCTGCTCTGTCATGTTCTTCTTGAACTTTTTCAATGACATACTCTTTGTCAGCTTTGTTGTCAATATCTGCCTTCAAAAGAAGTTCATCTATAGGCTTCTCGTTTAAAGTTCCTTTTGTTGGATTTACACAGACAGTATGGTTCTTATTGTCTTGAAACAGAAACTCATCTGTCATTGGGTTTAATGTCAGTTTTAGGTTTCCTTCTTTCAATGACTCAGATATCTTAGAATAGTTTGAAAAGTTTGTTGTGTTCTTATTTAGAGCTTGCATAATGAGTTGTCGGTTGTGTTGTATTTCTCTCATAGACGCTGTTTCATTTGACATTTTTATTCTAGATAAAATATGCTTCCAATAGAAAAAGAAAATTCAAGAGTTGCTACAACTAAACCATTAGATGAACTTTTTACTAATGTCGGTCAAAAGTTTGAGACAGAGACCGTAAAGCATGAAGGCTATCGTTTTGACTACCCATTAAGATGGCTAAGAGACCCATCTGTCACAAAAGCTATTGGCTTTCGTAGAATGAAGTTTGTGTCTGTAGAAGATAAAAGTTTTCCATTTATTGTAAGGTTTCATATAGATTATATATCTGAAGGGAAACGAAAAATGTGGAAGAAATTGAGCTAATACAAGTTGACCTTTCATCTTCTCTACAGACTGCGTTAAAAAATATAGAAGATAAAATAAATTCATGTTATGCAAAATATGCTGATGAATATGCAAATACCGAGAGCACACTTTATGTGAGAATTGTATATGACAAACAAAATTCACAAGTGTCATTTCAAATCTACGAAGACAATCCAAAGAAAGACGAACAAATATATACAGAATTCACTGCAATGTCATGGTATTATTTGCAAAGAATGTTAAATCAGAAAGTCAAACTTCCTTTAGCAAATATTTACAGTCGATATGCAAGAGATGAACCATATTTATTTAAAGATGTTTTCGACCCAGCTGCTATTATTGTTCATGCTTCATTTTCTGGCGCCCAAAACTCTTTCTTATGCTTGGCAAATGACTTTTACGAAAAACCTACAAAGTTATACGAACCACCAAGTGGAAGTATTTCAGACTTTCAAGTATGGTTTACTACAGATGGAAGAAAAAGAATAATTCCATTATACCATGCGTTTTACTTAGAACTTAGTTTCATATACAACTACTATCGAACGGTAAAAATATAATTTTTTAATACGGTTGAGGTGTTGGATTTGGTTGCCAACTAGACTGTGGTGCAGGTTCAGGCTGTTGTATAACAGGAGCTTGTTCTTCTGGTTCAGGGTCTTTAGGTATAATACCAACGAACTGACCTACTCTTTTACCAATATTTTTGACTCCGTTCCAAATTCCTCTTCCTACGGTTTTTATTCCATTCCATATACCTCTTCCAACATTTCGAAAGAAGTTTCCAATACTACTGAAGAAACCCATTTTACTATATGTAAAATCTAATGTCCGCCTAGTCTCTTACGTTTCCTGTTGAGTTCCATAGCATTCTTTAACTGGAGCTCATACATTCTGTTTCTCCTCTGGTAGAAAACATATTCTGGGTCAACTCCTGTGTTCGCGTCATCTGCATAAAGTTGTTTATATCCCACTTCAGGGTTTGTATAAAACTCTTTCCATCTCATATTTGCATACCATGGTGGCAAACCTAACGCAGCGTCATTTGACATGGCAGTTTGCATTTGTACATCTGTTGGCACTTGACCATAGTTTGCCATTGCAGTTTTATTCTAACTTCATTTGGAATATTCTCTGGGTTTGGTTGTCCAGGTTGCTGTGCATTCGCTAAGTTCTGTGCGTCCATTTAATATTAGATAAAAATATCTCTTACGAGTACATATGCTGAACATTTGCAGGCATTGGTTCATCTTCATATTCTCTATATCTTTCTGCCACGTCAAATAAGTAAATGACACAATGGAAAAAACCTAAAACAAGTAGTCCTATTTCAAACCACATTTACTTACTAGTAAAATTTCTTTGTTATGACACTTTCTCCAGTTTATAGGACCTCTCTCATATTCTATCTTATCGTATCTAAACTCATAGTCATGTATGTCCTCTAACCATCTCATGACACTTTCCAAACCACTTTTATCGGATGTAAAGTAAAAGCATGGACAGTTATGTAAAACGTCTAAAGTTTCTAAAGAGTCTCTCAAAGTCCAGTCTACTTGGTATTGAAAATCCCATGTGTTATAGAACGGCGGGTCCACTATAAAGAAAACATTTTCCTTGTCT